GCCTGGGGCCACAGCCCTGGAAGACAAAGCCTGGTCAGTAACCCAGCCTCTGTGGATAACAAGATGTCCCTGGAGCAGCTAAGGCCAGGCTTAACCTTCACAAATAATCTTTGCCAGGTGCACACCTGAGATCCTAGCTGTTCAGGGAGCCAAGGTAGGAGAGTCCCAAGTTTGAGGCCAGCCTGGGCAACTTAGCACAACCCTGTCTCCAAAACTAAAAAACCTTAGGGTCGGGCTGGGGATTCAGTTCAGCGAAAGCACAAGGTTATAAGTTCAATCCCCGGTACCCAAACAAAACAAAACAAAACAAAAACAACTTAGTGTCACTGACTCTTGTCCCTGAAGGCCTCCCTGGGACTGAGAGAAGCGCGGCTGATGCCAGGCACTGGGGCCCCAAGTCTCTGCCATTCCCCGCTGAGCCCCCACAGGACTCTGAGTCCCAGCCACTGGCCTCACTTCACTCCCGCTCAGTCACCCTGAGACACTAAGCATTGTCATCTGCTGTCACACAGCCTGGATGCCACAGGCCACACAACACTGCCCTGCCCTCTGGAGTCCACCACTGAGCTACATGCCCACCCCTGCCCCCTCCTCCCTTAAAAAAAAAAAGTGGTCTCGCCAAGTCACTAAATGGCCCAAGTTGGGCTCAAAAGTGCAATCGCCCTGCCTCAGCCTCCCAGAGTGCTGAGATTATGGGCATGTACTACCACACCCAACTGCCAGGCAGTTCTCTAAGCAGCGCAGGCTTGGTCCTGCCTTAGCATCCAGTGCCAGTGAGAATGCACCGTGACACCAGGTCCAACCTCCCACTGAACCCCACGTCGCTGGTCTCCAGGGGTCACTGCCCATGTGGTTTCCTGTGTGTTGCCCCCACAGGTCCGTGGGCAGCACAAGGGGAGAGCCCCTTCGGGAAGCCCAGAACTGAACCCAGGGCCCCTCCCAGCCCCATCACCACCTAGCCACACCCTGGGCCCTCCTCACTGTGTGTTCATTGAGTACCTGCTACAGGAGCAGTGAGCGAGGCCAGCGCAGCTGCGGGCCTGTGGGGCTGGAGTCAGGTGCTGCACGGGCAGATGAGGAGGAAGTGGAAGACAGCATGTGGTGCAGGGGGAGAAAAAGCTGGAGAGCGGAAGGAAGCTGGAAGGAAGCTGCCGCAGCCGCCTCCTGGCAACAGCCCCGTGAGCGGGCGTGGCTGTCCATTTCCCAGAAAGGAGGGGGCTGGAGGCGCACATGGGGACAGGGATGCCAGCCCCACCGGCAAGGTTACAGGGTCCCTGCTGCTCTGCTTGGCAGCCCCTCTGCCATTCAGCCTCAGTGTCATTGCCTGCAGGATGGGAACATAATAATTCCTAGTTGTCACAGGCTGCCCAGGGACCAGCATAGGGCAGATGGGGTGGAGCCGCAGGGCCTGGGTCAGGAGCCCTGGAGGATGTGGGCATCATTCCCCTTTACATTTTCCTCCACCCTAGTTCTCTTCCGGTCCAAGCCCTTCCGTGGCTCCCCAGTGCCCACAGACAATGAGGTCAAGTTCCTCTCATTACCTCCTTCCCTGACCGCATTGTACTGACCTCGTCCAGGAGGTGCCCAATCCCTCCCCCAACTGCCATCTGGCTTCACTTCAGGGGTTCACAGACTTTCCTTGAGGGGTGCCTGAAGTCACCCAGGCCTCTCACTAGCTTGCCAGGGTCCCGTGGCCTCCACCCCCAGGGGCGTCCATGCAGCTGGAGTAGGTGACATGCCACGGGGAGGGGCTGATCTGGGGGTCCAGGCCCTATGGAGGGGCCAACAGCAAGCCTGATGTGTCCCTGCTGTGTTCCAAAGCCTCTCCTGCAGCTGGAGGGTCTCCCAGGTTAGGTGTCACCCCTAAGGCTGGGGACAAACGTTGGGGAGGGAAAAGCCAGGGGCAGAGCTGTTTCAAACTTGCGCTGGTGTCTGCTTGTCCTAGGCAGGGCCGGGTGCTGGTCCGGCACTAGGCCCCGTCCCTGAAGGACTGTGTCCCCACTTTCCTCAGGGCTGCAGAAGGTCACCTTGCTGAGGCCACACTGCCTAAGTGAGTCAGGTGTTCATCAGCTTTGGTGAACAAATGATCCGAACAGTCAGGTTAACAAGAAACACAAGCCAAAGTCAGGGCCAGGGCTGTGGGGCCTGGGGTGCTGGCACAGCAGAGGGAGGACAGAGGGTACCAGGGCGGCTCCCCTGGACCCCCGGGGCCTTTGCCGCTCGGAGAGCAGGAGCCATAGTGCAGTGGCCCTGGGTCAAGCCAGCAGATGTTTCTTTACGTCTGCCTTTCTTTCTTCCTCCCTCCTGTCTTGTCTTTTCTTTTCTAGTTCTGGGCATTGAACCCAGGGACTTGTGCATGCTAGGCGGGTGCTTTCCCATTGAGTTATACCTGCAGGCTCTTTAAAATTTTTACTTTATTTATTTTTAAATAAAGTGACTTTTTTTTTTGGTACCGGGGATCAAACTCAGGACCTTGTGCTTTCAAGGCAGGCAGTGGAACCACTGAGCTAAATCCCTGGCCCCTAAAATTTTTATTTTGAGAGAAGGTTTTGCTAAAATGCCCAGGCTGGCCTCAAACTGCAATCTTCCTGCCTCAGCCTCAGAGCAGCTGTGTCAGCCTGTGCAAATTAGCAAGATCCTGTGTCAAAAAAAAAACAAACCCCAGGGCCGGGGATTTAGCTCAGTGGTTCCAGCGCCTGCCTCACAAATGCAAGGTACTGAGTTCGATCCCGGTACCAAAAAAAAACCAAACAAAAACAAACCCCCAAAACACAAAAAGGCCTGGGGATGTAGTTTAGTATTAGAGCACTTGGCTAGCAAGTTTAAGGCCCTGGGTTCAATTACCAGTGCTGACAAGGAAGAAAGGAAGGAGGAAATAAAGAAGGGAAGGGAGGGAGGCAGAAAAAAGAAAGATGCTGAGGTCCCAGAAAGTTTGGGAGCAGCTCTGGTGGGCCAGAAAGAGACCTGCCAGGGAATCAGGGAGCCCGGGCTGGGTGGCCTCTGCTGACCCGCCTCTTTTCAGAGCTTGTTTCCTCATCTGTAAAACGGGGGGCGGGCCGCGTGTCCCCTCTCCCCTGTGGCCCCTTGTGAATGTGCCAGCGCTGCAGCCCCTCCTGGCCCTTGGGGCTTGTGTTACAAGGATCAGCAGAGATAACAAGGGAAAGTGCTGAGCCTTGAGTCTGGGGGCCTGAAGGACGGTGGCTGTCCCCACTGCTGTTGTGACATCGTTATCACTGCCGACCAACTCAGCGTCTTCTTGAAGCTGAGCCCTTATTCAAATGGCGTACCTCTTCTTCCTGTTTGTCCTTCCTTTTTTCTTTCTCTCCCTTCCCCTTCTCTCTCTTTCCGTCTTTAGAGACAAGGTACCACTCCCTACGTGACGCAGGTTGGCCCTGAACCCTGACTTCACAGGGTCCGCAGCAACTGCCCCAAGCCCTGGCTCCTCCCCCGTGTGATCAGCACATCGTCTTGGGACCTTTCCCTTGCAATCCACCCCTCCTCTGGGCCCTTGAATCCTCTCTCTCGGTCCCAGCCTGGCCACCCGGCATCCGTTCTGCTAGTGTTTACTGAACACCTACAATGTGCCTGGCACTGTGCCCTCGCCTCCAGACCCCTCGGCCAATATCCTCACACATCAGGTCTTGGTGGCCCTTGACACTCTGCATGATGGCTTCCTCGCTGAGACTCAGTTGTTTCACCTACAAAACCTCCCTTGGAGGGAGGCCCCTGTAAGGCGGGGCTCGCCACTACTGCCCGGAGACACCCCGTGGCTATTGGCGGGAGTCGGGGAGAGCCAGACTTGGGGTTTGGAGGTGGAATTTGCGGTCGCTGGAAAAGGAATACAGAGCGGAAGAGGTCAGGGGTAGGGAGCACCGGCCTAGAGTGAACTCTGAGCCTCCCTGCATGACCTTTTCGCAGCCGACCTCCCCGCAGTAGTAAAGAGGCGCGGACAGCGCACCTCGGACAGCTTAGGACCGAGCTCCCTCGCTCCAGGCGAGAGGACCCTGCCCCCTCCGCCCTCCTGGAGCAGGACGGGGTAAACAAGCTTTGTTGCTGTTCTCCCGCTGTTACTTTGTTATTCCCGCCCTGCCCGGCCTCCTCCACCCACAGCGCACCCTTGGCTCCAGGGTTGAGGTCGACCTTAGACCCTGCCCTCCCACCCTGCCTAGAACTCGGGATTTCTCCTCCTTCCGGGTCTCCCCCGGGTCTCCACGTGGGTAGCCGTCTTTCGCCCCTCCCCCACCCATGGCCCCGGGGCGCAGAGCAGGGGGCGGGGCTGCCACGCTCCCACGGGGATGGTGCCGAAGGCAGCGCGTAGGTGGGGTGGACGGAGCCGGGCTGCAGGGCAGGTCGGCTAATGCCGCTTCGGAGGCGGGGAAGCGGGTTTGAAGACTCCTAGCTTCCAAATCTGTCAGCCTGAAAAGCATGCATTTTTTGGTTTTTATTTTTATTTAGTACACACTCACAGTGCCTAGTGATGGCATTCATCGTGGGGAGTTGGGACATGGACATAGCACATCTTAATTTTATGTTCCCTTCCCATTTGCAAAAGATGGATTTTCCTGTTATCCATTACCTAAATTTTACTTACGAGCTTACGTTCTTATTTCCTTTCCATGCTGAGGATGGAACCCAGGGCCTCAGGCCTGCCAGGCAAATGCTCTACCTGCTCCCCCAGCCCTGGATGTCTCCGCACTAAGCAAACCATTTGGTCCTTTCTGAGCCTCGGTTTCCGCGTGGGTAAAATGGGCATGAAACAAGCAGCGAGGCCCTAGGAGTAACCGGAGGATGAAGCGAGGCCCCTCCGTCGAGGAGCTAGGATTGAGGCGCTGGGTCCACCCACAAACGCTCCTCGCGGGGCGCACACCAGGGTCTCGCACACCCGTAAGGAGAAGGCAGAGAGTGCAAACGCGGACAGCAATAGTGTCCGCTGCCCGCGGATCTCAGATTCTGAGCTTCCCGGGTGGGTAGGTGGCCAGGGCGGGGCGCGCGGGCGGGGCCCCATCAGGTTTGCGGCCGCCCCGCCTCCCTCGACAGCGCGCGTCTGGGCCAGCGCCGCACACTCGGCCCGCCGCCCGCCGCCCGCCGCGAGGTGAGTCCGCGCCCGGATTCCCGATTCCCGATCCCCGCATGTCTGGGCCTCCCGCGCTGGGAGGGGGTCCCTGGCCAAACCCCTTTTCGCCGCGGAGAGTCCCGGGCGAGTCACTCGCGGGGTGACGTCCTCGCTCTGCCTGGTGGGGGGGTGTCGAGGTCTCCACGCCACGATCGTGCCATCCACGTCTCAGCGTCTAGGTCTGGGCTATGGGGTGGCCTCGTCCCGCCCAGCGGGCCCTGGTGCCCCGGCACCGCCCTCGTTCTCGGCCTCTGGGACTGGGCTCCGACCTCGGGGGTCCGGACATGGCACCAACATAGCCCGGGTGTCCACTAAAAGAGGGAAGATGGCGTCGGGTACCTGTCTCCGCTCGGATCGGGCCGCACACCTGCAGAGGGGCGGGAGAGGCCTTAGTGGGGGGCGTGGAGAAAGGGAAATTCTGATCAGGAGTTTGCGGGGAGTGGGCGAGGCCGCCACCTGTCTGTGGCCCTGTGCAGGTGAACCGCGGGTGGCCTGGGCGTCGGAGTGGCCGCGGGGGCGCCCCCTCCATAACCAGCCTAGGAGTGGGGTCACGGCTGGTGTCACTTTCGCTTTGGCTCTCGCCCCTTGGTTGGAACCCTTTGTAAACCATTAATTGCAGCTCTAATTTGCACCGAATGAACCACCCTTTGCGGGAGGTTGTTATTGTTATCATTGTTCTCTCTGCTGCTGAAACATTGTTTTTATATGGGCTGGGCGCAAGCCCCCGTGGGCTCCTCGGTCTGCCTCTTCCCAAGTTGGGAGCCAACTCTGGTGGAGAAACTGGAGCTCAGGTCTCTGGAAGGAGTAGGTGCTCAGGTTGACTGGCACAAAGTGGCACAAAGACCAGAGCCCTTCGTTGGAAGCCGAGCCAGACCTCTCCATGCGGCCACTTTCTAGCTGTGTGGCTTGGGCAAGCGATTCTGTAAAACTGGCTCCCGCTCTGAGGCTCGTGGCTGCGCAAGAGTTAGCCCTTTACCTTGTCTCCACTTCACTTGGGCACGGTTTAATGCACACCTGTAATGTCAGCACTTGGAGGCTGAGGCAGGAGGACTGCCAGTTGAAGGCTAGCCTGACTGCATAGTGAGACCCTGTCTCAAAAACACTCCGAAAAGTTAATCTGGGCCTGCCTTTGGAGGGGGTTCTTAGGAGCAGCATAGTCCCAGCGTCACTGGTGCTGGTCACCAGACACAGTAGTAGCAAGACCCCCTCCGAGGACCAGCCCGGAGTCTGGGAGCAGGCGTGTGCCCCTGGCCTCGGCCCTGCCCCTGTGTTCTGGCTCTTCTCCTCCCCTCTTCCCTTGATCCTCAGCCTAGGATTTGGGGACTTCCGGCTGGGACCCAGCGGGCTAATAACCATACTTCAGTGCCAGTCAAAGTGATCAAGAAGAGGTTCGTGTTGCCTCTGGGTGCTCGGGCTGCAGGGTTGAGGCCCGCATCTGCTGGGGCGTCTTGCGGCAGAGTCTGGGAGGCAGGGCAGGAAGTAGGAGTGGGCGGTGCTGTTGGACTCCTTTGGTCTCTGTCTGAGAGGCCACTGGGATCCAAGCACCAGGCCCTGTCCTGACCCCCGATGACCTTTTCTAGTCCCAGTCACCTCCCCGGGCCCCGGCTCTGAACACCACTGGCAGATACATTTCCCGTCCCCCCAAGTTTGATGGTGGGGTCAAATTCAAACACATGAATCGGAAGGGAGGGGGGATCCCTGAAGTCCTGGCAAAACCCCAGTGTTATCGTCTTGCCAATGGCTCCCAGCATGTGAATGCCCAGCCTGCACCTGGAATTTCTCTTAGTGACAAACTCACTTGATTAATCTTTTTCTGTTTTGCAGTGCTGGGGATTGAACTCAGAGTCTTTGTACTGAGCTACATCCCTGACCCTTCTTATTTTTTGAGACAGGATCTTGTTAAGTTGGAGTGGCCCAGGCCGGGTGCCAACTTGCAATTCTCCTGCCTCAGCCTCCAAAAGGGCAGGGATTACAGGTGTGTGCCACCGCTCCAGGTTTAATCAATCTTCTAGGATGTCTTCCAGGTGCTTCCTTTTTTTTTTTCTTTCTTCTTTTTGGGTTGTGGTGGGGACTGAGCCCAGGTGGGGTGTGGTAGGGCCTCCTACATGCTAGTCGAGCTCTGCCACTGAGCCACACCCTCGCCGTAGTTGCTTAGTTGATCTTTTTTTCTAAAGATGACCTCAGCAGGGACGATCCTGTAAGCACCGGATACTGTGAAGTATCTCATGGGATAATGTGGGACTTGAAACGGATCACTGGAGGGCCTGGTCCCTCTGGGTGTCTGAACTGCCACCCTTTGCTGTCTCTGCTCTGCTGCTGCCCCCCCTGAGAAGTCCTCCCTGACTACCCTATCTCAAGGCATAGCTGTCCCTCTCTTCCACCTACTCTCCTGTCCCAAGACCTCCTTTGGGGGCCTTCAGGGTTCTGAGACTGCACTGATCTCATGCATTTGTACGCTGACTCACACTAACCTTCCAGCTCCGTCAGGAAACATCAGATGACATCCAGTTAGGATCCAGTGACAGCTTAGGCACCTGGTAGGGAGCAGGTTGGAGGTTGGAGTGTGGTGCCTGTGAATGTGGGTGTAGACACAGGTGAAATGACACCCAGATCTGGAGCTTTGGGGAAGCCAGAGGCCCTCGTGGCCCCCTCCCCTGGCTGCAGGTCCTCCATGGCGGGTGAGCTGCAGGGGTCTGGAAGAGCCGCAGTTCTGGCAGACACCACTGACCCTGGCCCCCTGTTGAGCATCCTGTTTAGTGAAGCTCTTAAGTTTCTGGACAGTTAATGGCCTCTGCCTGTGGCAGACTTGGTGGAGCCCGAGAGAGTCTGTTTTTCTCTCTGCCCAGAACAGTCCTGAGCTGTGTGGAGGAAGTTCCCTGTGACACTTGGCCTTTGTTGTTGGCGGCCACCAGGAAGCCAGCGGTGGGTCTGGGCTGCACAGGTGTGGCCGCTGCTCATTGCTTTTGGCTGGGTCCGGTGGGATACAGATTGTGAGGGCCATGGCAGCCCTGGGGCAGGTGGGAGAGGGCCCGGCAAGGTGGCCAGGGCACACAGAGGGCAGCTGATTTGCCTAGTGTCAATATTAGGATGTGACAATACAAAACACCCGCCGGGGACCACAGAGCAAACCTGTTTCTCTGGCATTGGGAGAAGTCTTGGCACTGGCTACACAGGCAGAGGGGGGGTTGCCTGGTGTTGGGGTGGGGACATGGAGGGTCCAGAGATCTCAGTCATTTCTTTGGCCATCAAGGATGGCATTCATGGTGTGCATCCAGAGCTGGGAGTTAAGAATACGCTCCATCTGGAGGCCAGGACACAGCGAGCCACCCACCTCAGTGAAAGCTAAATTCCCTACACAGGCAGTGGTGTGTTATGGGGACACGTGGAGCTGGGACACAGGGCGGCCAGCACGTGTGCACCTCTCTCCTCCCAGCCCTCTGTGAGCACTTGCTGCATGCATGTCTTGTATGCAGCTTTTGTCCTTCTTGGGGCCACCCTTGCGTGGGGCTGTCCCCCTTTTAACAGAAAGTGACCCTGAGGAGGCCCAGCACAGGTGTGTGTTCAGTCCAGGGTCCCCAGGCAGGAACTGGGGGCCTCTTTGACTCCTTCCTTCATCTTGTCTGGTCCCCTGACGGTCACCCAGTGGCACCAGGTCCTTCCCCTGCAGGTGGCCCAGGCTCCAGACTGGCTGGCAGACAGACAGGTAAACACTTCAAGAGGACATAAGAGGTTGAGTGGCCGATCCAGGTCTGTTGACCTAAGGCATGGGGACAGCCAGGGTGCTCCCCGGAGAGGGCAGGAGGAAGAGATCTTTGGCCAGGCGAGGGAGCATGTAGGTCCCTGGCCTGCCTTCCAGGTGGCAGAGGAGCTGGGGTGAGATCCTGAGACTGGGAGGAGGAGCCTGCGGCTGCCTCGGGCCAGTGCTTGATGAGGTCCTTATTCCACAGCCCTGGACAGGAGGGCTTGAATACCTGCTTCAGAAACTCGGCCACTGCAGGGCCAGGTGGCGCCCTGGCTTCTGTCCTCTGATGGGAGAGAAAGGCACAGAAAGTTCCCCTTTTCTGTGGTCATTTCACACTCAGCCAAGATAATTTTTGTTTGTTTTTTGGTACCAGGGATCAAACTCAGGTTTTTGCGCTTTCGAGGCAGGCGGCAGAACCACTGAGCTAAATCCCCAGCCCTAGAATTATTAACCTGTTACACTTCCTCTGCAGATCATTGTTTTTTAGACTTTTGTTTTTTTTGAGGTGCTGAGGATGGGACCCAGGGCATAGGCAAGTGCTGACTACTGGGCCACACCCCCCAGGCCAGGCTGGAGTATTTTAGTAGTGGACTGAGCAGGAAAGGACTGACGGGGAAATCCCCTCCATACTGGTTTTACAAATATAGATTTAAGGGTTTGCAGCTAAGGAATTAGTTCAGTCACATGGCTGATGGAGACTAGAAGGCCGGATTCCTGGCAGTCCAGCCTTCAAAAACCTGGCCCGGAGGTTGGGCCTGGCTGGCCCAGCCTGGGGAGTTGGATTTGCTGTCTTTGAGAAGAGAAGCAGAAGTTGGGTCAGGTGTGGTGCTGCACACCTGTAATCCTCGAACTCTGGAAGCTGAGGCAGGATGGTGGAAGGTTCAAGGCCAGCTTGGGCAGTTTAGCAACTTAGTGAAACCCTGTCTTAAAGTAGAAAATAAAGGCTGGGGATGTAGCTCAGTGCAAAGGCCCTGGGTTCAATCCCATCCCCAGTATTACTAAATAAATAAATTTATTACTAAATAAATAAATAAATAAATTTTAAAAAGGGGCTCAGCCTGGTAGCTCATGCTTATAAACCCAGCTTTCTGGGAGGCTGAGACAGGAGGATCCCAAGTTCAATCACCGCTTGTGCAACTTAGTGACTTAATAAGACTCTATCTCAAAATGAAAAGTATAAAAGCACTGGGGGTGTAGCTCAGCGCAAAGGCCCTGGCTTCACTGGGACTTCTCCTAC